ATATATATACACACACACAATTACATTTAGATATACATACATACATATATACATATACATATACGTACATACTTGGGTCCTACTGAAAATAAATTCCAAACGACAAGTGGCACCTGCTACCTTGACCACCTCTGCCTAGAGACCGCTCCTGTTCCAATAAGAAAATGATTTGAAAAGAAATCATGTGTTAATGGGTTTTTAAAGTTTTATTGAACAAACATCGAACGATGTTTAGGTGGGGCGATTTAATCCAAGTGGAAGGCTGGGCAAGGGTAAGACATGGACGGAGATAGTGCAAAGAGATATGGTATCTTATAGTCTTACTGAGGTATTATCTTTGATAGAGAAAAATGATGGAACAAGACTCGTGTAGCTAAAACCAAATAATTAGGATAAAATTCAAATGCCAAATAATTAGGACAAAATTCGGATGATGATGATTAAACCAACACCAAGAGAAACATATTTTGCCTCTCATAGAAAGAGACTCCCTCAATGTCATCAACTGGTGCAGGAACCCTGCTTCTACCCCTTGGCAATGGACCCATCTTTGGGATCACATTGGCAGAAGCCTACGTGGGAAGGAGGTCTCCTTTATTCATGTTCACAGGGAAATGAAAGTGGGAAGGTCTCCTTTATTCATGTTCACAGGGAAAGGAACGGGAGTTTTAACGCAATAGTCAAAGGAGTAGGGCTTTAAGTGTGTTTTTTTTTTTTTCTTTTATTTTCCTTGTTCTTTTTCTGTTTCTTTTCTTAGAAATTTTTCATCTCATCAATGAAACGTTACCGTTAAATGTTAAAAAAAAAAACAGAAATGATTTCTTTGGCCTTAATTATGAATGCCCCTCAAAGAAGATGTCACATGTGGTAACAAGTTGTTGGAGGTTCAATTTCTACTTTTACGCTTTCATCGTATAAAAAGTTGTTTTCTATCAGATATTGGTGTTCCAAACCGCTAATATACGTTAGATACTGGTGTTAAAACACTAATATCCTACTTCTAAACGACGATTATTTTAAGCTTGTGAAAGAGTGCACTTTAAACGACCATAGCAGAGTGGTAATTTAAAAAAAAAAAGCGCATTGAATAATGGTATTTTCAAATGTCAATATTTTACACGTTTGAGTTTTTTTTTGAAATATTGTATTCAAAATACTATTATTTTGAGCTCGGAGGTTTTCTAATAGTAGTTTTGGGGTTGCAGTTTGTATAGGGTGACAACTTTATTTGTAGATGAAAGGTTGTGATTTTATTTTAGTTGGATAATATAAATTAGACATGTCGTTTAAGGTAATGTAAAAAAATAACACATTTTTTAAGATAGTGCAAACTATACTGTCCAAATAAAATAAATGGTATAGATTGCAATTGCAGTAACCTTGCTTTTAGAAGGAAGATTATAACCTTACATATTATTAAATTATGTTATCTCTTTGTGGAAGTAGACAATGTTTCTTTTCCATCACGTTAAGATTATGTAATTGGATTGTATATTATGAGAGTATTTACCATCATTATAAGGAGATCACACACTCTTAGTCATTACATGTTTAACTTTGATGGCTTGAAGTGTGCTATGAAATTTTAAAAATTTTATTTGATTTTTGAGTTTAATCAAATGACACAAAACCACTAAATTTAAAATCTGATGAACAAGAATGATCGTGACCTCATTGTACTAAAAGTAAATGGTCTATTTGTATATTTTTCTTTTTATAATTGACGACACATCTCTCTTGTGTAGGATTAGCTATTCATTGTGCTTAACAAGGACTAGGAAATGACCTCTTAGCAAGCAACGACAGGCCCTCCAATTATTAACACTCCATGGTTGTAGCCTTTTAGGATTGCCAGGATTGCCACGAATTCATTGTCAACCTTTGATTTACAAGCATTCTAGCTGTTGTTTCTAGCAGATTAAGTACACAATCTTGAAGAGATCCTGATATAAGGAGTTCTTGTTTCCGTATCTAAGAGGAATTTTGAAAAACTAGTATTATTGATATCTACAAAATATGTTTTTAAAACAAATGATCCCCAATTCTTATGACTGGTGATCCCCAATTCTTATGTAATACTACCCTATTGCAGCCAAATCTTTCGTCATATGTACAACTTATGTTATTAGCAATCATAGCTTAATCACAAATTTAAAATTTAAACATATTTATAAATAAAACAGAAATTTATTTGAAAATTATGAACACGGAATTCCTTGCCATAAACAATTTTGGTTAATGCTATTAATTTCAGATGCGAAGCCCATGAACTTCGTCACAGTCTCCAAGCTCAACAAAACCCGAACAATCTCATTTGTTTGTGGGTGCGATCGATCCCCGGCCATGAATGGATGGAGCTCAGTTCCTATATGTATCCAACTGCATCCCGGGTTCTTTTTCCAATTATTTTCTCTCATCAATTTCCTTAATCTCACTACTTCATCCCATTTACCAACACTGGCATAAATATTGGAGAGAGAAACATAATTCCCTAGGTTATCTGGTTCTAATTCAAACAGTTTCTTTGACACCATTTCAACTAATTCAATCTGGTTATGCTCTTTGCAAGCAAGAAGCAAGGACCCATAGAGCTGAGCATCTGGTTCAAATGGCATCTTAGAAAGAACCTCTAGAGCTTCTTCGATGAGTCCACTTCGAGCTAAAAGGCTAACTATACAGCCATAATGTTCCATTGTAGGCATCAAATCATATAGTGCTAAGATGTTTTTGAAAATATCTCTGCCCTCTTCATAAAGGCCAGCATGGTTACAAGCAGATAATATAGAAGTTAAAGTGATGCTATCGGGTCTTATATCTCTAACTTCCATTACATTAAAGAGAGACAAAGCACTTACCCCATCACCATGCAATGCATAACCATTGATCATAGCATTGTACAGAGGCAACTCCATAGCTGCACCACAGTCAAATACCTTTCTGGCCATGCTTATGCTCCCGCATTTTGCATACATATCTATTAGAGAGGTTTGAACTATAATAGATGACCTCCAATCATGTCGAATTACGTATCCATGAATCTCTTTCCCATGACATAACAATGCCATAAGGATGCAAGCTGAAAGCACACTCACTATGCTTACACTATTGGGTTTAATCCCTTTAAGTTGCATTTGCCTAAAGAACTCAATGGCATCATGGCCATAACCATTCTGAGCTAAACCAGAGACCATGGTGGTCCAAGTGATGAAGTTGGGCACTAGATTTGCCGACTCCATCTGAGAGAACATGTCCATGGCCTCTGAAACCTGTCTGTTTTTGAAGAAACCCAAGATCATGGAGTTCCATGAAACCACATTAGGAACCAAACCAGATAATTGCATCTCATAGAAGAGTTTGAGAGCCTCTCCACTAAACCCCAACTCTGCAAATTCAGCTATTATTGTGTTCCATAAAACCACATCTCTGTGCAAACTAGAATCGAACACAGTTTTCGCTTCTGATATTTTCCCAAATTTAGCATACAAGGCTATTAACCCACTAGCCACAAAGGCATCGGATTCCAGAGCATTGCGAATAGCATAGCCATGGGTGGCTCTTCCAAGCCATAACTGGCCCAAACCACTGCAAGCTGAGATAACTGAAACCATAGTCACTGAATCCGGCTTCTTTCCCTCCAGCTTTTGCAAATCAATGCAACAATGGAGGGCCAAATGGTAATGCCCAAGTTTAACATAACCAGAGATGATCAAGTTCCAAGCGACCATATCCCTTGAAACCAACCTCTCAAAAACCAGCTGTGCATCATCCATGAACCCACTTTCTCCGTAGAAATGGATCAACCCACCACACAATATGTTATCCAACTGCAACCCAATTTTAACAGCCATGGCATGAGCTTGTTTTCCTTCTTTAAATGCTTCCAAACTAGCACAGGCAGAAAGGAGGCTCACTATGGTCACTCTAGTGGGTTCAAAATCTTGTGAAATCATCTCATAAAAAGCCATCAACACCCTGTGATTCTCCCCATTGTGAGAAAAACCCACCATGATTGAGTTCCAAGAGATCACATTTCTCTCAGGCATTGTATCGAACACTTGCTCTGCTTCTTCTAAAAGACCGAGCTTTCCATACATGTCCACCAGGCTGCTGCCGACAAATACACAAGAGAAAAACCCCAACTTCAAAGAGTAGCCATGAATCAATTTCCCTGAAACTTCATCTCTGAGAGATGCACAGGCCTTCAAGGCATTCGGGATGATGAAATTATCAGGAAATATCCCATCTTTCTGCATCTCTGAGAAGCTCAACAAAGCTTCATCATAGAAACCATTTCTACAGTGAAAACCGATGATTGCAGACCATGAAAACACGTTTTTCACGGCTAATTTTTCAAACAGTTTGAATGTCTCTTCCTTGCTGTCGCATTTAGCATAAAGAATGAGGAGTTTTGTGCTAAAAAATTCGTTCTTTGATATCAAATCACCGAGTTTTTGGATATGACCATGGATTTGCCTACCCAATTCCAGTGCTCTCTGATACACGCATTCTTGGAGGATTTCGCCGTAGATTTCGGGCCGAAATTTCGGTTGGTTTTCGGATAGGAATGATATGGTTTGGTGAAGTGTTTTAGTGGGGGATGAGAGGGAGAGGTGTGAGAGAAGGAGCTTTTGGGTGTAGGGTTTGGTTTTTTGGGGTGTGAAATTGAAGTGGAGGGGTTGTTTAGGTTTGAATGGAGGGGAATTGATTGGTCGGTTGGGGAAGATGAATGGGGTTGCCATGCATCAAGGTTAGGGAATTTGGTATGTTATATGAGTGAGAGAGAGAGGGATTCGTGTGATGCTGTCCTTGCCCAGCCAGGAACTAGATGAGTTGGACCGGATGGGTCGGCTTTCTCGAGCTTACAAGAAAACTTCAAAAAAAATCTTTGAACTTTTTTGAAAGTCATATTTAGTTTATTTTTAATATTTTTTATAGGTACGTCCCAATGAGCAGATTGAACGTATCAAATTTCATATTCATACAATTTGTATAAAAAAATTTAAAAATAAAATACTTTGAGACGTCGGATTTAAGATCAAATGGTGAGTCGTTCTTTTTATCAAAATTGAACGGCTGGATGGTAGGGGAAGCATAGATCTTCTATGTTGTAAGGGAAGTATAGAAACATTTCCCTTTAGTTGATGTCTAGGGTGTCACACTCATTCCACAATAAAAAAAATGAACTATATTTCAATAGTTTGTTACGTACTGAGGTGAAACCTTCTTGTTCTTGGATGTAGCCATGGTGCTGACCATAAAAGAAGTTGTATAGAGAAGAAAAGAGCAGGTTTAATTGAAAAAACCTAGCCTCGTTAGCACATAAGTGTTGTTAGTTCAAAATTGTTCCTCCCAGCTGGATTACCATTCATTAAATAGAATAACCCACGTACAAGATATGAGCTAAAAAATTAGCTCCCACTAACAACTAACAACCAACAACCAACTAAAACAAACTAACAACCCATAAAAGACTCCTAACTTGACTCCATACTCATTCATGCGAGCCTTATTCATAACAACAAAAAGATAACAACAAAAAGACACGTAACATTTCCTCCCCCCTTAAGATTCGATCTTATCCTCAATATCATATTCTGAAAATTGCTTCATCATGGCTTCGAGGTCCTCCCAGGTGGCTTTTGCAGGTTACATTCATTGCCAATGTATAAGAATTTGTTCTTCCTTTTGTGAATTCTTTGGTCAAGGACTGCTTAAGGCTTTGGATGGAGTGTTTGATCGTCTTCACGCACTGATGGTAGCTCAGTTTGGACCAAGGTGTCATCTGCCACCTTCTTCTTCAACAGGGACACATGGAACACCGGATGGATGAGTGATTCTTCTAGCAAGTCTAATTTGAATACAACGGCTCCTATCCTTTTCACAATTTGGTATGACCCATAATACCATGGAGATAACTTGAGGTTTTTTCTGAGGGACAATGTTGCTTGCTTGTAAGGCTGAAGTTTGAGATAGACCCAGTCCCCTTCTTCAAATTCTCTCTCTTGATGATGACAGTCATACACCTTCTTCATGTGTTTCTGTTCTTCCTTGAGTATGACTCTTAACTCCTTAATCTTCTAATCTCGGTCTAACAACTGTCTTTCAACCGATTCAACCTTAGCAGTGCCCGAAACATATGTCAACAATGATGGTCGTAGTCAACCATAAACCACCTCAAACGGAGTTGTCTTTATTGTTGAATGCCAACTGGGGTTGTAGCAATACTTTGCCCAAGAAATCCACCTTCCCCACTCCTTAGGATTTGAACTAGTGAAGCACCTCAAATACATATTCGTTGTTTGGTTCACCACTTCACTTTGCCCATCAGTTTGGGGATGGTAAGCAGAACTATAATTGAAGTTTGTACTGTTGAGGCGAAACAACTTTGACCAAAAGTTACTAGTGAAAGTAGAATGTCGATCACATATGATCGTTCTAGGCATACCATGCAATTTGAACACTTGATCAAAGAAGATTTGGGCAACTACGGTGGCTGTGTACGAGTGAGATAGGGGAATGAAGTGCGCATACTTTGATAGTCGGTCCACCACTATAAGTACAACCGACTTGCCTTTTGAAATGGGCAACCCTTCTACAAAATCCATCGATATATCTTCCCATACTCGTTGTGGAATAGGCAAAGGTTGGAGTAGCACACAGGAGAGGCTTGCTCAGCCTTGTGACGCTGACATGTGTCACATTGAGCGGTGAATTGTTTTATTTTATCTCTCATACCGGGCCAATAGATGCTAGTTCTTATCCTCTAGAGGGTTTTATGATAACCCTCATGAGTGCTGCCATAAAACTGATCAATGATGTCGTCGATCAATATGGAGTTCCCAGCAAGATAAACTCTATCTTTAAAAAAGATAAGCCTTTTCTTATATTACCATGGGCTCACTGCCTCATCCTCTTTAATATGTTGAATTAATACCTGTAGAACCGGATTTGCACTAGTCTTCTCCTTCACTGCTGCAACCCAGTTGGCAACGGGTTGAGAGACAGCAGCGAGTTTCCCTCTACAACTATGTCACATTCTTCATTTTCTTCCCTCCTGGACAACGTGTCATCTACAACGTTCTCCTTCCCCTTTTTGTACTGCACAATGAAGTCATAACTCATCAACTTGTATAGCCATCTATGTTGTGCTGAGGATGTAATTTTTTTAGCCCGCAAATGTTGTAAACTTATTTGGTCTATCCTCACCACAAACTGCCTTCCCAGTAAATATGAATGCCACTTCTGTACGACCAACACCAATGCCGATATATCCTTCTTATAAGTAGACAATAGTAAGTTCCTCCCTTGCAAAGCTTGACTATAAAAGGCTATTGGACGTTCTTGCATCAATACCCCAAAGCCACTAGCATCACATTCAGCAATAGACTTCTTGGAGAAGTCCGAAAGAACTAGAACGAGAGCCTTAGTCATGACTTCTTTCAATTTTTCGAATGCTTCCTCAGCTACTAGGGTCCACTTGTACGAATATTTTTTGAGCATGTGAGTGAGTGGCCTAGCTATTTTGCCATAATTTTGAATGAACTTCTGGTAGTAGCTTGTTAAAGCAAGAAAACCTCTCATGGCTTTAGGGCTTTTCAGCTTGGGCCAACTCAACATGGCAGAGATCTTGTCAGAGGATCAACCGCCACTCCTGCATTAGAAATTATATGGCTGAGGTAGTGAACCTCACTTTGGCCAAACTAACATTTCTCCTTCTTGACAAACAACTTGTTAGACTGTAAGGTAGACAATGCAATTTCTAAATACTTGAAATGTTCTTCCCATGATGCACTGTATATTAAGATATCATTAAAAAATACTAAAATGAATTTCCTCTAGTAGTTTTGGAATACCTGATTCATTAAGGACTGGAGGGTTGATAGTACATTGGTAAGTCCGAGAGGCATTACAAGGAATTCATAGTGGCCATGATATGTTTGAAATGTCGTTTTCTCCGCGTCTTCCGGCACCACTCGAATTTGATGATATCTAAAATTTAGATCCAATTTTGAAAACACATGTGCTCCGTTCAACTTGTCCAGTAACTCATCAATTACTGGAATTGGGAATTGATCCTTGATAGTGACCTTGTTAAGGGCACGGTAATCTAAGCACATACGCCACGACTCATCGTGCTTCTAACCTAGTATTACATGTAAGGAATAAGGATGTTGCTAGGGTGGATTACCCCCGAATTAAACATTTCGGCCACCAACTTCTTAATCTCCACCTTCTGGTAATGTGGGTGGCGGGAATCCTTGGTACACACTGGTTCACTTCCCACCTTCAATTGAATCGCGTAGGTGGTAGTCCTTTGGGCTCCTCGAATACGTCCTGAAATTCTTCCAAAATACGTTGCAATCGAGTAAGTTGATTTGGAGTCACAATCGAATATAAGTGTACCAATATCCCCTTCTTATTTCTCCTTGCTTCACAATCGAACTCGTGATCTCCAATTAACTTATCATTGAATGATGTGACCCCCTTAAGAGTTACTTCTTTTGCAGCCACCTTGAAGGTCATCAATAACCTTGCAAAATCCCACATAATGGAGCCAAGTGTTCATAACCACTTAGCACCCAAGCCAACTTCATAGCCTTCTAATGTAAGTAAATACAAATCTATGATAATTGGGACACCTTGCAAAATTAACTTAATGTTGGAGCACTTACCGGGGCTAGGAAGTTTCTCCTCGGATGCTACCATCACCTCAAAATAGCTACCACTGGTTGGTTGCATACCCACCTTTTTTGCAAGTATTTCACTTATAAAATTATGAGTGCTTCCCGAATCTATCAAAACCATGACCGCAATATGGCCTAAGTTGTCTTTCACATGCATGGTTTCGGGAGCTCATATTACGTAGATTGCATGCAGAGAGATCCCAGGAAGCTCACGAAACTTTTCCAGAACGTCTTCCTCCGGGCCTAGTTTATCGTAGTCGTCTTCCTTTTCATAGTAGCCCTCGATCAAGAACAACTTCTTACAACAATGTCTAGGTACAAACTTCTCGTTACAATTAAAGAATAAGCCCTTAGCTCGCCTCTCTGGCATCTCTGCAAGTGACAATCGTCGAACCAGAAGTACATGGCCATTTTTAGTTGTTTCCTTGCTGGTTATAAGAGTTTTATTCACATCGGTCAATGGGCTAGCTTGCCGTTGAGAGAAGTTGCGGGCTTCATAAAGGCGAGCTAAACCAACAGCATCAAAGAGGGTTGTGGGACGCCCTACCAAAACGTCAGCTTTGATGTTGTTCTTCAACCCACTAATGAAGCAGCTAACCTAGCGATCGGGCAAGAGATACCCCACCTTAGTTAAAGCCTTCTCAAATTGGGTTTGATAGTCTCGAACGTTCCCAGCTTGTTGCAACTTACTCAACTCTCTAAAGAAGTCTTTGAGTTGAGTGGGTCCATACCAGGTATCTACCCCATCACAAAACTTTTGCCAAGACATCTCGCCTACTTCTTGTTTGAAGATTTGGTACTACAACTGAGCGCCACCCTCTAGATGAAAGGTTGCAAGAGCCACACGCTCTTCTTCTGATGTTTGATGGAACCAGAAAAAGTGTTCTACCTTGCAAGTCAAGCTCGTCGTGTCCTCGTTGACATTAAAGCTGAGAAAGTTGAGCTTAACATTGGAACACAGGACTGCTGCGTTCAGTGTTGGTGTGCCCAGATTGTTCACCATGGTTTGGAAGTGGAGCTCTAGAGTTCTCTCCTTTCTCAGGTTCAATAGTACTAGAATACGAGCGAAGCTTTTCGAACAACTCGTTAAGCTTGTCCATGATTTGCTGTTGGCCAAT